TGGCCTCCAGCTATCTGTACCATGGCTGAGCTCAACCTAAGATTGCATTGATAATTGTGAGGTATGGACTGACCTACTGCCCAGGACCAGTTTGCCTCTGTGTTTCAATTTTGGTCTGAAACTGAGGGCTTTTTTTGAATAATCCAGCACACAAAAAGGTTTATTCACTCAACGGTATGCCACCATTTTCTTTAAATGCATGTCAGCCCTCATTAGAAAAGCTTTGAAAATCTGTACTGCTTAACGGGTCTATCTCACTGTCTTTATAGCATGCTTTGCACGACAGAATCATTGCTTGTTTTTTTGAACACCTAAATGCAGTAAAATACTTCTCTCCAAAGTAACACTGGTATATAAGCAGCTCACTTCTCAGATGAAAAAATAGGTATAAATAATGGGTCTTGCATAGAGTAGGGTGACCAGAGGTCCTCTTTTACCCAGACATGTCCTCTTTTAGGGACAAGCTTTGTTTTGGGGAGTTTATAAATCCCTCAAATGTCTGGGTTTTTTATGGAAGTTTTGAGTTTGTTTCCCGAGGACTTACTGAGTTAGAAGTGCATGAAAAACACTCGACCTGACCCTAAAGATTCTCAGTATTAACTCCGCCCCTGCGTTGTCGTGTCCTCTTTTTGGGGATTCAGAAAATGGTCACCCTAACATACAAAATCTGACAGTATTTGCTAAATAAGTGTATTACTCACAGGAGAGCTTAGCTCAGCTGTACAGGATCTACACACTCTCAGTTATAGACGGTGGACTTTTAGTTAGGGGGCCACAAAGCAAAATGGCACCTATGGCCCCAAAAAGTTCTGTCCTGGCCCTGTTTACAAGTGACTGAAAATTGCTTGTTAGTTTATTATTAAATCTCAATAAACTGAGTCACATTATAATTTCATATTAGCACATAAACTCCCGAAACAACATTTTAACTTTACAATTTCCTTTTTCAAAAGTACATCAATCGTCTCCGGTGTATGTGAACCCCACCAAAGGGTTGAGAGACTAATGAGTGAAACTGATTGAAGCTGCTCCTGGACATAAATCCACATGCTCGTCCTACTTTCTGAATGCCTTTGAGCTCCAGAGAGGTGAAAAGGTGACTAATGAGGGCTCATCTCTGCCTCCACTCCCCTCCCCCTTCCCCACTACAACCCCAGCCCACACTACTAATACCAGACCACATCTTACACCTGTACACCTGAACACAGAGTACTCCCCTGAAAAAGTCTGTCTTAAACTGAACCATCAGTGCTGAAATCCAGCGCATACACACACTCACACACACCTGCAGACTTGGTAGTGCATTAGCGTGTCTCCCTTACCACCCCTCCTGCCCTTCTTGTTATCTCCCCAGTTTGACTAATGTTCTCTTGTAAGTACAGAGGTGGCAAAATTCCTTTGTTGGCTTCAACAATATAAACAGGCACTTCAAAAGGGGATAAGGCTGCTTTACAGGTGTCACATCTCTTCTGATGATGGCCAGCCTCTTTAGAAATCTTGCGGATAACCCATCATCCTCATTCAAGGCGGGTGACATACTTCGCACGTTCCCCCTCCCTGCCTGTAAAAGGGAAAACATAATAACGGCCACAGATGTTAAGATGGTTCAACTCAGCCATTAGAGAAAGGTGTATTTTCTTCTTCGGTAAAGAATCGTCTGTTTAGTTAGTCTGCTGTGTGTAATTTCATCCAAAAGCAGCAAAAACTGATTGGATGGTGTGATTAACAACACGTTAGCAAGTCTTTATTTAGAATTTAGTAGCTGAAGTGTTGGGGGAAGGTGTGAGTGCTGTTAGGATCTATTTATTTAGAAAATAGATGTGAGAATTATCATCACTCACAGGCTATTATAAAAAGCAGAGTTAAAATAATGCCATTTTAACATTGGGAGGGGCATTCGTTTCTCATCATATACGCCAGTTCCTCGATTTAGACTGTTGCAAAGTATCATGAAGTGATATTAAAGCAATGCAAATAAATCTGCGATCTGGATTGGACAGTGTGCAAAAGACGTGTACAGAATCCAAGGGGATTGATGTAATTTCAGACAGAAGAAGTTAAAGACATCAAAAGACCAGCTTCAAAGTTAGTTACATAATGAAATGCCCACGCACTGGGGTCCATGTCACCTTTGGTGTGTATGATCTATGGACAAGAGAGGCTTTGAGGAATGAGTTCTTAAACGTTTCGAACACTTTGAAGCATGTGTAATACTTGATAGTACGACCATGTTTTTAAAACTTCTGCATGTATATAGGACTTAAAATTGAGAATAACAGGTACTAAATACTCTCACAGCTTGTGTGTTTGCTGTTGCGGGTTTCTAAGTTCGACCCAACATCAAAAGGCTTCAAGAGAAGTGTAACAGAAGCTGGCTTTAACCAAAGTGTGACTTCTGTGGGAGGCTTTACATCGTGTCAGCGGAGTGTGGGCCTTTGCACCACTCCACTGTATATATCTCACTCTGCTCTGCCCCACAACAACATGGCTTTATTGAAATGCATGCAGTGGTCTCTTGTGAATGTCAGGGTGAAACTCAGGACATAAAATATAAAGAGAGGACACTGATTGCAATTAGCCCCATTGTCTCCCATTTATATGGTTATTGGGTGGTGCCTCTAGCAGTCTGGTCGTGTCAAAGTTCTCACAGTCAGGATGCCATCTCTCTCAGTGGAGCTGCCATAGCCTCCTCTGGCAACTATGTGCTAACAATGTTCATCTCACTTGGGTGACAAAGCTTCTAGGTGGGTCTGGCTGCAGGGAAGAGCCCATTTCCCTCTGCCAAAAAGACGGCGTTGCTGCAGGGCCGGAGTTTCTGTCCGTCCTGTGATCTGTTTTATGTTTTGCACTTGTTTTCTCCCATTCACATGGTGTGAGAAAGGTCAAAGGTTGAGGTGTGGAAGGAGTTGCTGCAGCCTCCCAGATAGTCTCTAAGCAAAACCTTCACCTTGCTAGAGTCTTCAACAATGCTTTATTAATTTCCCATCACCGGTTTAAACACCATTTAATTCAATGTATGCAGAGGAAATAAGTAAACCTGAGAAATGAGGTTCAGACATAGGAGAGACGAACAGTGAAAGATGGTTTAAATATAGTTTGATGCTGGGGCTGGCAGAAAATGAATCCACATGAATGAGAAAGGAAGGGTATCACTTTTTGTGTTGCTTCCACTCTGGAGGGGGTGTGTATCAATCTTTCTATGAGATAATGGGGTTAGATGGCAGCGAGACCTGGCCTCTGGTGGTGACATTGTTGCAGGGCTCAAAGACTATCAGGGGTCCAGCAGCTGAGCCGCAGCACCGGTAGGCTCTATTCACATCCAAACCCTAATCTATCTTGAGATCAGGTCTTTCTCTCCAACAACAAAGCTCCATCTTTTTCTCAACTCTCATCTCTGTGATTTTTTCCGTTTTTGTTTCTCCAAAAAGCACAGCTGGCTCCTGCAGTCGCTGAAAGGAATCAAATCATCAGTCCAGCTTTATTTTCTTCTTTTTCTTTTTCCTGCGGATTTTGACAAATCCGTGGGCTGTGCTGGGGCTTTAAGCCCTGAAGCTGCCAGACACAATGACTGACAACTTGACCATATTCAAGGTGTCTGACTGTAATTAGATATTCAATTTTAGGGCCTAAGAAAACAATGAAAAACATCAGTCTAGTCTGTAATAGGTTGCAAGGTTGCAAGAGGCAACATCTGCAGATAAATGGTTATGCAATTTCATCAGTGGCTCTTCACATGGCAAGAGCAATATTGGATGACTTGTGTCAACTACATGGTTTCTTGCATGTTTGTCACTTATATTTTTTTTCTGCAACTTGGAGCACTTCTTTAAGTCAAAGGTAAAACTCATAGCATTTACATAGTTAACCAGTGTTATCCTCTTCTGAGACACCAGTTTTACTCTCTCACTAGCTCTGTCACAGCTGTAGTTCTTCTTCTCTTCAAATTGCAACCAATAAAATGCATGTTGCCATCTACTGTATCCTACTTCTATGCATTATTTTAATCTGAAAAATTGTATAATTAGAATGCTTAGATATTTTCTTTATCAGACTGATAACCCTGATGTAAACTGTAGTTCATATACCCCTATTTGAAGACAGGTTGTTACTACAAACACAAGTTAAAGCTCCTCTGAGGAACTTTCAGTTTGTGTCAGTTGTGGTGCCCCTTGTGGAAAAAGCAGTCTTTTTATCTTGACCTCCTCATGCTTGAATAGTGTTTTCTAGAAAAAAGAAAATGATAACTTTTTATCGTGAATATTTATGATGCAATTGTAAAAACAGAGTTTTTCAGTTACTCAGCTGATACCTACCCCTCCGCACAGGTTTGAGGCATCAAAGTTTATAGTATAAAAATTGTCAATCTTATTGCTCATGGTTTTGTTTGCTGAAGTACAGTATAACATAAAAAGGTATCAGGTATATTCAGCCTATTTCATTCCTTACAGGTGCTTTAAGTATGAACAACTTTTTCAGTTTACAAAATCTTAGCCTCAGCTGTCACATGACATTTATTTGACTTTATTGACATTTCTTTAAATACATCCATAAATATGTAGTGGTTATAGTGGTTACAACTGCAGATTTATTTGTCATATAATAACTACTGACCTCTTAAGATGCTCTTCTTGTAAGGATATGCAGCTCTGTTGTCTTTGCTGAAGATTCCATTGTAGCAAAGTGAAATGAAGAGCAAGTGTGGTTTCATGGAAAACTCAGTTTTTTGTTTCCCTTCTTGTTTACAATAATTCAAAGTATTTAACATTCTTACAAACCTGGATAACTAGCACTTTAAGTTTAAGGAAGCTCGCAGGGATCACTTCTCATGATTTACCGCCCTCACACAAGCCTTTTAAAACAAAACTTGTGACCTTATGACAATTGCCAGAATTCGAGACAGTCACGGCATTGATTCAGCTCGTTTTGTTTCAATAGAGCCTGTCTAAAGCATTTTACACACACAAAATAATTGTTTGAGATCAGTTAGGGACAAATAGAACAAAAGTATGGTTGTTTATTTTGCTTTATTTTGGTGTTACAGAGTTAACTTTAGAAATCTACAGCAGGCAGAAGGACAAATGGAGCCCGTGTGCAGTCAGTTAAAAAACAGAGATGAGGTAAAAGGGCTACAGTGTTACAAATCACAACACTGTTTAAAAAAATGTATTTCTGCAAATATATACTTTCACTTACTACTATTTACAAGGCATGAAATAAATAATTATAAAAAACATCAAATTTTAGAGATCCATAAAAACACAAAAAACTACTCTGTACAAAACTTTGGATTTAAAGACTTAACGAAGAATTAGACCAAAGGCAAAGTGTTCACACAAGCAATCAATCACATATAAAGTGTACAGTAATAAATGCAAGATAACAACTCTTGTACTGAAAATGGCCGCTGTGTACTTTATAAATGATGTCTCCCAATGTAAAAATGGTGAATGACCTGCTTGTTGTTTTTACTTAAATCAGGATAAAAAATTGTCGTTGATAGGCAACTATGATAAAAATCTCACAGTTGTGCAGGTTTGACAGATCTCATTACATAAACTGTGAACAATAATTCAACAGTGACTTTACATGCGTTTCTATATTTAAGTCAATCACTGAAATGAAATGCACTCTTTTTCATAAATGTATGTCACCTATCTGGGCAGTAGAATTTCATTTTCCAAATAAACAATGAAGTGTTTTACTTTTGTCGAGCTAATGGAGAACATCATGAATAATTTTGCCCTGATCTTTAGCACACTACAAAACCATAGCTAAGATAACAAGAAGTCTAGTTTGGTCTATTTGGTTAAAATGAGAATAACTGTTTGCAAGAATTAGTTGAAACTTCACATTTTCTTTTCCAGACTATATAGAATAAATTTCTTTCACAGAAAGAATCAGAACATGCAAGAATATACATAAAAAAAAAACACGTCTGCAAAGACATATTGTATGTAAGACCTTAAACACACACTCACACAAATATTATCTTTACTTAGCAGCATTACAATAAGAGAAGAATTGATAGTTTCAGTGATGCTGCTTGTTGTTAAGTTTAGTTAGCACAAGAGGCCACAGCTGAGAATCACCACCTGCACATCACTGCTTAACTCATCTGCAAAGTATAATGCGTTATACAGAGCTTATGTGGTGCAGCTTAGTTTGCGGTTTGTCTGCAGATTAAGTTAATGTTCACCTGGAATTCAAAATTTATTTCTAGTTCCACAAATTTGAAATAAAATAAGTATGCAAATGCAGCAAAAACAAAGTGGGAATATCCCTTTTATAAATAACAGCTTCTCCCACACCCAGCCACATGTTAATACTGATAAAAACAAGGAGAACATGCTTCATATTTCTCAACAGGGCACAAGTGCTGACCTTTCGATTCGATTGCAGCTCTCTGACCACCACAGATTGACTTTTCTTGTCTTTGGTCGTGACTCTTGATGTTGCGCTTCTGGAAACGTGCAGACTGTGTATTCTTGTTTTGCAGATGATCACTTGATGTGGCTCATGTCTACTCTTTATATATAAAGTTAGTCACGTAAAGCAGATATTAACTTGTTAGCTTAAGACTGTGAGAATTCGTAAACAAGTTGCAGCATAAAAACTACATTCACTCAGGTGCAAGTGCATTCTTACCCAAACATCAGTTACCTATCAACACTATATAAAAAAAAATCATTCACACAATGAGGATGTTAGTTTCCAGATACACACATACAAACTAATAATGATGAGAAGAATGCATGCTTTTGAGTGTCATATTAATCCCTTATTAGATTTTTCTGGCAAAAACATGATGATAAAATGCCAAAGATGTAAGTTTTTACATTGTTTGCCCCCATACAGATGATACACAAGCAGTGCTTTACTATTCTCAACAAAAGGAACTACCAGGAACACAAGAAAAAATGTTTAAAAATCACCAATATGGTGTTTGTCAATCAGCCAACAGTTTTCCTTTGCTACGTCAGTACATGAAAACTCTTTCACCATCTCTAGACATATCTACATCGTTCTGGGATCACCAGGGTCTTTCTGAATGATGCGCTGTGATGTCGTTGTCTCACCAACTGCTTCAGTTGACTTTTCTCGGATTACAGCACAAAACACCCGCTCAGTCTGCCACTAGAGTCCATAGATAGGTCAGACTGCTTCACAGTGTCTCATGTCTTGTTATAAGTTGCTGCATTTGTTCAACTACCCACTAAAGTCTTTGAGTTTTGGTGGGCATCGACGAGAACCAGATGTCCTTATTTGCAGGTGTGCACATCGTAGACTCTCACACATTCCTGACAGCTGACGTAGCAGCACCAGTGGAAAATACAGTGACACTTCTCCTTTCTCTTCTCAGTCCTGGTGTTGTGACCTCTGCCGCAGCAGAGAAGGTCACACCCATCTATGCCGTGGGACGTCAGGTTGCAGATTCGATCGCGGGTGCCAAATGAGCCAGTCTCAGGATTGGGGTCACAAAAATTGGGTGAGCTTTCGTAATAAACGAGGTCGCGCTCTGTTGGGGGTTTGAAGTAGTTGTACTTGGGTCTCAGGGTCTCCACCCATCCTCGGGACTCTTTATGTTTCTCCACCACCATCTCCGATGCGCTGTCATACTTATCCTTCATGTAGTCGCCAATAACTCGGAAGTCTGGTTGGGACCACCAGCATGTCTTGACCTCGCAGCTCCCCGAGAGACCATGGCACTTACACTTCAGGAACATGTTGTCATTGAGGGACTAGGGGGCAAACATAACTTTATTAACATACATGAGTAAACAAAAAGTGCACCAGTACAAGAAGCAATTTTTTTCAAAGGAACTCACCATTCTTCCAGCCTCATTGTTGTGGCGGTTCATGGCTGAGCGTGCATCGGGGCGATTCTCCCTTGCATCAGCAAACTCTCGGGACACCATGCTCCCGAACTCCACATCCTCACTGCAGCCACCCCACTTCCATCCCTCTCCTGGGGGGCCCTTGTGGCGTGTGTCACATCCGCAGATGGTGGCTGAGCCCTCAGCGCAGGCACGGGTCACCGCAAATGCCACTCCCGCAGAGGCGATAGCGTGGACGAATGCCGACTCTCGAGTGGCTGGAAAGACAAGTTCACAAATCTGTAAAACACTGATCTTTGGAAAAACTACTCTGACGCAGCATATATCTGCTGAATTCAACAGTAACCTAATGTCACATGAGTAACAAGTGTTTGATGCTTATTTCTCAGATTTTATTCATAAAAAAACTTGAAGCTATAACGTGAGAGAATGTAGGTCACCGCTTGTTGTGGGTTTCTGCTTGTGTTCAGTCTTGTATGATTACATAAGTAATTCAACCAAATCCCACAAGACAACATCAAACAAACTACACACTGGAGAAGCTATTATTATTGTTAGCTGCATGTGTTTAGGTCATACAGCTACTGAGGTGCGCTAGTGTCTTCTTAGCTGAGACATCAATTGTCCTGTCTCTGAATCAGGCCAGCGAGGTCTCTATGCCTCTGTCTGACATAGCTTACTGATGACTCAGAGGGATCAGGATCTTCCAAAGAGATGAGAGGAAGAGACGGTCCTGACAGGCCTATAATTAAGAGACTCAATTAAGCTTTTGAAAGGTTAGGAAACAGCCTCACACTGCAGGGACAAATCATGGAAACAGCATTGAAGTGGGGCTGTAGTGTTCAGATATGCAATCCTGAACTCCAACTCACAGTTACAGGCATATCACCGGGGCATATGGTTCAATTCAGTGTACCCTGCTTTAACAGGATTCATTATGACAGGGAAGCTGCCTTGAATATATGTACTTGTACGGTCTTGCACAATCAGAAGAAAAGAGACAGAGGGAGCATGATAAAAAAATGTGGAACACCAGGTGTAAAACGAAATGAACAAACAAGGCGGAAAGAAAGGAAAAGAAAGCATCAAAGATCAATCATGAAATTTGGGATTGTGTTGGTGCACTTGTGTGTATAGATAGACAGATAAAGAGGGAGCACATGCTACTGTCAAGGGAACAAGAACGACAGAGGGAAAGAAAGAAAAGAAAAAAGGCAGGAGTATAAAGCTAAAGAGAGTTGGAGCTCCTCCCTTACAGCAGGTTCCAACCAGTTTGAGGACTAAAGGGCATTAGGAACAATGATGCAAGAGAAAAGGTCTGCTGGCATCCTCCACCACCCACTTCACAGTGCTATTACACACAAGGTTACCGATGTTCACAATGTAACTGCTGTCTTTCCTTGAGTCTCGCTCGCTGCATCCATTAATGATTTCTTTACATAAGTGTGCATTCATTTCTTTGCGGTCATATCAGTTCAAGCATGTAATATGTAGATCACAAAATTTATAAATATTTACAGTAAAATATGATGTAGAACAAATAGAGAGTTTGCTAAAGTTCCTCATAAAAACCTAATTTAAACAATTTGAACACAGCTATATGAGATGGTATCATCAGCATAGAAGATGAACTTTATTTGGTGTGAGGCAGAGTCCTAATTATTTTGTATGAAAATTGTGACAAAAAAATTGAGCCTAAAGCAGTACCCTGGGGAACTCCTTTGGAATAGCGATCTTATGGATGACTGGCAATGATGCTGCAGAGCTTAAGGGGGTGGAGGAGTTCAAATGGGAGAGGAAAAGAGGATTATCTTGGGATAAAATGAGCAAAGGAGAGGGATTGGGGCAAATTTAATATGTCCTAGTGTCTCTGGGGGTTAAGTAGTTTCTGAGGTGACAGACCTCTTGTGACAGCCATACACTCTTAAGTGCCACCATGTCTAAGGAGAAAACACGTAGTTCAAAACATCAAGTGATCATTGTGAGCATTATTCAGAAACTGCTCTCGCTGCCTTTATATTTCAATATAACTACATCAGGTTTAAGCACTGGATGCCTAGGTCTTGACCTCATGTATCAAAAAGCCAACAGAAGGCCTTCTTGGAAGGTCTTGAGAACTTCTTGGTGTGTTACGAAACTCTGTTTTATTAAATAAGAAAATTAAACCTATTTTCACCTCAGTCTACAATGGCGATACTTCCCTTTTCTTCACGTTGCTTCATTCACCTTCAACGACATTTATTTTACCTGGAAACACCAGCTCTATCATTAGTTTCTCTGCTTTGTTCAGTTTTATGGCCAATTTATGGTATTTTGGGACACTTCTACTCCGACAATGCATCTCCACCAAACCTTGCCAGACCCAGGCAGACCAAGTGGTCCCTACAACCTGCTGGGGGGTTGAATCTCCTATTGTGCTGCCACTGTCACGCTGTGTTAGTCCCACAATAGCCCGAGATATTTTATATGAAATTTGCCCTGGCCAGTGATTAGTGGGGACCAAGTTAAGTCATAGCAACAGAGAACTATGCATTGGCTGGACCCCGCTTGTCGGCAGACGGGGAAATCCCTATTCAAATGGTTTAATAAAACAATCTAAAGGGCGTGTGAATGGGGAAAAGCACTTTTTCTCCTGCTTAATCTCATGGTTGCGAAGATATTGTGCTCTGAGCAGTGCCCAGCGGGGAGCGGGGCTAAGGTCCCCCCATCAACTCCATTTACCACACCCCTTCTTTCTTTCTTGCCCAGAGTTAATGATATACTGGTGCGCCAGCTTCCCTCCCCCAGCATGGAGAGACATACGACTCATGAAAAGCAGAGACCTCTTAGCTCATCCTAAATAGTTACACTTTCTCATCCTCAGGTCATAGGTCATAACCCACATCCCCTGACCTTTACAGAGTCAGTTTAGACAGGACTTAATGATTGAGGTTAATTTACTGGGTTGGTAGAGTGTGGCAAGGCAGGGTAGCTACAAGGAAGAGAGACCGAAAATCAGAATGAAACTCAACAGTAATCTCTTCCTCATGCTTCATGCATTACATAATAGGAGCTTCCTATGAGACACATCAGATTTTAATGGTTTCATGGAGAATAGGGTGCACGTCTGTACCTGTGCGGGTGGTAACACCTGTGAATTTTTGACTGTCCACCTTCTTTGGTTGAGTTACCCTCACTAATTCTATCATATGACTCATAAACTGGTACCTGATTATACCCATATATCAGGTAGGTGTTCTGTAAATACCATGAATGCCAAAACCTCTCTGGGATCGGCTCTGGGGACTAAGAACACCTGCGCAGCTTTCTATTACCTTTCATCACAGGCAGATTCCAGCAGTGCATGTTTTGACACTTTAGTTAATGTAAATTAATGAGTGCTGACGCAGACGTAGCCTAGAGGTAGGGCATGTGATTTGGGGTGTGGAGTGAAGGAGAAACACAGAGAGGATCAGGCAGTGTTTAAAGGAGACAGAACATGCTCATAAAATAAAAACATGTTTTTTAAAAGGCAGGAGTAACTCGGAAGGTGGATGAGGTTGGATATGAGTATGCATGACAATTAGATGTATGAATGCTTGTTTGTGGTTGCAGTAGTTATGGATGATTTGGGCACTGGCACTTATGCTTCTGGAAGTAGGTAGTGTAAGTGATTTTTAAATATTAGATCAGTCTCAACGTTATTCTCTGAATTGCTTTTTCCTCTTAATTGTACATCTCTTTTACTCTCTTAAAACTTTGCACTTCTATGAGAGTGTCTTGAACAGTGATGGGATAACTGATAGCAACAAAGCCTCTGAAGCCCCTAAAAGTATCTCTCTGCTTCTTAGACCAAGAGGAAACTGACACACAACAGTCTGAATCTCAGACAGATACCAGTGTGGACAATGGCCCTGTAGCGCAGACAACACCAGCATCAATCAAATCCAATGAAATGGAAGCCCTCTCCTACTAAGCCATATCAAAGGCCTGTGAGCCCCTGAGTCACCTCTGACAAAGGCACTTAATCCAGCCACTTTGACCCCTCACATTATTAAAGGCCTCAGTGACCTTAATCCAATCAAAAGTGATTCACTAAAGCCCAGTAGCTTCTTCCTCTTTCCACTCAGTTCTCAATTTAGGGCTAGGAGGGGAGGCAATGGGAGAGATGTGGTGGCATTTTGCACCACAATAGGACTTAGACTGGGAACCCCTATCGTTAGCCACCTACTTGAGCTCAAGCTTCTTCTATCAACTGGCTCAGGAGTTTATTAAAAGCAATTGCCCCGACCAACCTCCGACCCCCTGTGCTTGCATCAATCTTCTGTAAACTAGGTGACAGGTTTAGACTCCTGACCCCCTTGCTCTCGATTGTAAAAACCGTTATTCTTCTCAAAGTTGCTGTAATTAAAGAAAAAACACCAACAAACTTTGATAAAAGCATCAGCATTTGGTTGCAGTGGTTGTTTGCTGTAGTTGCATGTCAAGCTAACAGACAGGTGAAAATGACGTTAAACAAATTTCTCAAAGTTTATTTTATGTCTAACAGTTCCACCAGCAGCTCTAAAGAATTTCCTTTTAGATGGCCTGGAGCACCTCTCAAACTCATTAGCATAATTTGCTACCTTAAACTATGAATCCTTGTTGAACCAGTATGCTAAGAGGCTGCTAACGCTTATATTTAGCTAGCAGGCAAGTATGCACCAGGTGTGCCCTAAAACATGATAACTTACTCTATCATAGACAGATTTAGATATCAGTAATGAGTTCCAATTGTATAAAATAGCCAGCATTACTGATGTTAAAAACTGGGGCCTTGAAACTTGAAACTATCTAAGAGAGCATAAATTATGTGACAGCCAGTTATCCAGCTACATTCATTCTGCTAGGCAAACACTGCTATGTGATGAGGGGGGTAAGAGCAAGAGCAGGGAGTAGCTTCATAATGACGCCAACAGGAAATTCTCCATAGACCAGACTGTCTCATGTCAGTTTGGCGGCCTATGCAAAGATACAGGCCTTTCGGCTACAGCTTCATGAAGTTACAGCCTCTTATTTGTCACACAGGAAATACTCATGTAATTTCCACTCCGAATAAAACTTCCTCATTTGTTCATCAAACTGTGAAATGGGAATTTTTACGGCTTGAGCCCATGATTAGACTAGATTTGACCAAGCCTACGTCAGAAAGTGGTAGGACATCATCAGAGAGATGAATGGGAGAAAACATATTTTGGAAAAAACTCAGTTTACATACTTGTGTAAAGCACTTCAGATGATCGTACAGCAAAACAATCACAGGGGATTCCCTTGTAAAGAAAACTCCAGCCAGACAGAACTCACCAGTCTTGATTGTGCACATTATTTCATGCATACAGGCAGCTCAAAGCTTATTCAGCCTAAAGTCTATTTGAACAAGGATTTGAAAGAGCAGAATGAATGATGCACGCAGGGAGTTTAGCTTTTCAAATGCAAATATCACACAGAGGGAATATAGAATTGTTAATGGAAGAGTTAATCAGCACTGAGACACAATAACTCGCTTTGATTTCCCCCAGATTGTGTCTGCAGGTAGTTTGAAGATCTTAATATCTTTTTGCAAAAATGGGTTGTCTCATGTTTGGAAGAAGGTGTGGAAGAGATTTATACAACAGATAGCTTTTACTCTAGTTCATTACAGATGGCAGATGGTTGGCTAGGAATAAATCAGGTGTTACTCAAGGTGTCTGCCTGTTGGAGGAAGTTTTCCTTGCTACTGCTACCAAGTGCTTGCTTTCTGAGTCCCTCCTAAAGATATATTTAAAAAGCCAAGTGTAATAAGATAACGCGTGGGATTGATTTGTTGATTGATAAACCCAGACACTGATGCCTAACATTACCTTTATCCAACACCGGCCCAAAAATGGCCAGGTTATCGTTGACTGTGGTGCAGTTCCAGCGTCGGCCTCTGAATTGGTGCTGGCACTCTTGGATACCAATCTTCACCCCCTCTGCCACGCTTGGCATGATCTCCACGTAGTTCCGGCAGAATCGCAGCTGTTTGGGAACCAAACCCGGGATGCTGCCACAGAGGATGGGTTGAGTTCCTAGGGATGAGTACTGGTGGCCCACTGCTAGTGACCTGTGTGGAAGGAAGGGGAGAGGAGGGGGAGTCAAAAACATCAGTGCAGTGCAAGTATTGATTCAACATCACTTCAGTCGGGAGGCTAATTTCCTTCTCCAGGTGCTGTGTAATTTCATGTCTGACTATGTTTGACTGTGTGTTTATTTGCAGTATCAGTACCGTGCTACCATTAGGCGTCCACCCTTTATCCCCTCAACTACCCTCTCTGCAGACACCTGGCCTTTGTGTGTATTGAAATTGCAGCCCTGCTGACACAGACGCAGGCCATGTTTCTGTCTGAGATGAAAGTCCACAGTGCATCCAGAGGTCTTCATAGACCTTAAGCTGACAACTTGGAAAACTGCACCCTTTTATTAACTGTCCTCACACTTAACAGGCCTTCAGCTTAGGGTAATAAGAGTGCTAACCTGACATTCAGACTTCAGAGAGTGTATTAAGTGTAACACACAACCCAACCCCCTCTTTTCCTTTGAGGATACAACAAGTGCAAACTTGGTCCACTGATTACATCTTTCTCTCTGCCCCTTTATTGCTTTCTCTCTGTCTTTCTGTCTTCTACATCCTCTCAATTAGGACTTAAACTAATAATCACTGAATTGCTCATATATTTTTGTCATTGCTTACAGTATAATTTAGCTAATTTCAAGAAGCATTTTTCCTGTCTGACCAAGTTTCATGTCTGCATTTGGACATCTGAAAGCTGACATGCTGGTATTATACTCAAAGGCGGTTGACAGGTTGATTTGTTCATTAAGGGGTGTATTTCAAAGTACATGAGCATTAGTATAATTGAGACAATCAAATTATTATTTTTTGCAGCTGCATGACCTGCTGACCTGAGCTGAAAGCTTATAATTGAAGTGTCACCAAAATCAATATTTTGACTACTTGATTGTTTAATAGCAGAGTTCCTATTATCTTTGGCAGATGCTCTGCAGAGTAGCAACAAAGTAGCTTGTTGGCAAGACAGAGGAGTCTTCATTTCACCTCAACTGTCTATTAAAGACCAAACTCTGGCAGCAGTAATGTGCTGATCCTCCCCCTGAGTGATATGAGCCTGATAACAGTTACTGTAGCTCCTGCACAAAGACGGAGCCAGAGCAGGTGTGCTGTCTCCTGCCGCTCAGTTAACTCACTACCGGTTGACCTGCTCACTGTTGTTCAAGGACTAATCGCTGATCACAACAAGATTACCAAAACTCCTGACACTCGCCTCAGGCTGCTTTCCATCAGAGCTCAACGATCTCCTCAGTCCAACGACCCCTCTTTGACGGCTCCCGACTGCAGCAAACACGCTGACCTTGAATACCTTGGTTATATTTAGAAATTTAAAGCCTGATTTCATCTTCTATATTACTCTTTAATGTTGTCTGTCAGGTGTCAAGGTGTGTGTACGCCATCAGCTGACCCGGTGAGTGAACCGCTGTTATTTCCCCCCCAAGCGAATGTCAGAGTCATGTGTCATGCTACTCTTAAAGACATTTCTTGCCTAATATCTGCAGACTAGACTGATGAAGTTAATCATAAATGAGACATCCAAGCGAGCGAGCAAGAGCAAGTTCAAAAATGACTCTGGAGGAAATCACGATCTCCTGTAGTGTCTCTGCAACATCCATCAGTAAATAAGGGCACTCCTCTTACCAAATGACCTCTCTTTGGCCCTTGTCAGTCCCTATACCCTGAAGCACATCATTCCCAGCAGAAACCTGAGTCCACATCTCCAGACTGGCTCAGACTTTAGGTTTGTCTCAACAAACAGAGCTGGGACATGAAAAAACCCACGTACAGCTATTCATCAGTCAAGTCCTGCAGGCCTACAGGTTTTTTTTATAAGCAGTAGTCTATCAGCTTCCTTTGAAAGAAACTTGGCATCTCTGATGTTTCCATGACTTTTCCATCAGCTCCATAATGGAAAAAGATTTCTGCAGTTTGAACCAGCATCAAGTGGGGTTCAACTTAAAGTCTGAATCTGTCACTTTTTGTTGATCTATCAGAGGATTTTCTTGTGGTCTGCAGAATAAAATGAATCTGATTCTTATCATCTCTACACCCATAAGAAGTATTTTTGCATTTATGACCATCATGAGTCATCAGGTGATCCACTCGGGTGTTTCTGTGTGTCAGTGGGGCTGGGTGAACCATGCCACCATTTCCTGTGTTGGGAAATGGCCCAAAAGCAAAGGCAGGGCATGTTCCACCAGAGATGATTTACTGTATGACTTTTTGAAGTAGAGAGTGCATGAAGTTTGATCTTTTTTGACACTACCTCAAACATTTATTAAAACAAAAGTTCTTGTCATTGTAGACAAACATTAAGTGCCCCTTGTTTTTGAATTATAACTGAGATATCAACGTTTTCTGTTTAGAAATAATCAATAAAAAATGAGGATTGAATAATAATGCTAATGTTTCTTATGTGGTATAAATAAACACTTAAACAAAAACATATATCACATTCAAATTTTGTCCCAGCACAGACTTTCCCCCCTCTCATCTGAGTGTATCCAGCGCAGGTTTAATGCATATTTCAGCAAGCCCAAGCAGGGTACCTTAGAATTACCACTTTACTTGTGGGCCCTGGGGCCTTGGAGCCGACTTTGACATCAAGAGAATATGTTTGGGAAAAGGAATGTGCGGCAAGCTTTCACCTCCAGGTATTTATCTTCTAAGGTGGGGTGGACTAGGGAAGGGAAGGGGGTGGTGGTGGTGGTGGTGGAGCGGCGGGTGCAACCCGGCTATGTCATGGCAGGTCGAGAAGAGACAGACATGAACCTGTCTTGGTGTGTATCCTGATGCGAAAAGAGACTACTGTGGTGCAGAGGCTTGAGTGTTGCGTGGCTCTGATGGCCACTTGAAGCCAAGTTGTCAACTAAACATCACAGGTTGCTTTACACAGAAGCGATAGCTCTTAAATAGCTGGCATGCTGTCTGAAAACACAGAGACAATGCAGGATTAGGCTGCGTTATTTGACTTGGGATGAGTTGCCATGATACGAAAAATACACCAGTAGTCAGAAAAAAAAAAAAACTCGAGTGTTACGTCAAGAAGTCAAGGTGACTCCGTGTTCTGCAGCCTGAGATTGTTTGCATTGGTAGAAGTGATACAGAGGTCTTTTCTGCTTACTTCACTTAGGTTTCGCTGCTGTACTCTGAATCACTTAAAGGACTGATCCTTCCCCCCCTGTAATCAGAGCACCAGCTCAGAAGTCAGCTCATGACTCGCTGCAGCGTTTTTGTTGTGACAGGATGGAAACCTGTCTCTATTGTGTCATTCATAACTGGATTCACAAGAAAGACGTGTAAAAAGAGACCACCTCTTATCAAAATTGAAAATAAAGCCTCTTTTTCTTGGCAGTGTGTACAAGAGTGTCGATCAGCAGAGCTAGAATATGACACTGCACACGCTGGCAGCAACCAAATACTGTTAAAAAAATGTTCATATCAGCTGATAGTTTCTGAAAACATGCTGGACATGGTAGCATCCACACTGCTTTGGATTCAGGCATGTACTGATCTGGGTAAGTTTTTCCCTCCTCTTGGCTCAAAACAGCCCACTGTTATATCAGGATTTCCTTCCAGCTGTGCGTGTAATAAGTTTCTCATCAGTATTACCAACGGGGGACCCATTAAGGGAAGTAGATAAGAGTGCACACACCACCTAAGTAACTCCAGATAAGGAAGAATTTATTATAGAACAGCAATTCATTTTGTGCTGAAAGATTTAGATGTTTGCAGCTGATGGGTGAGGAATAATCGTGACTGAAAGAAGAGACAGAAAAACAACCTAAGAGACAAAAATCTGCAAAAACGTGCCATTGAAGCCACTTCTTCTTAATAAAGTGTTAAAAGGCAACTGCAGCTTTAATAACTACAGGTTCAGCTTGTTGAAAAGAGAAGGAAATTAAGAAAGGCAGTAGTCTCAGTAGTTTTCTGGATGTTCCAAGGTGTTGCAAGTTTGGATTTTTCAAAACACTTCAGAAAGTTATTGAAACAAATCCATCTGGGATTAAAATATCAGTATGTGTCATAGCAAACACTGCTTTCATACATCAGACATGGGTGGATTTAGTAATCCCTATTTATGTTTTAAATAAAAAAATGTCAGAATACAGATCATAAAAGTGTAATAATTTCATTTTAAATGTTGTCCAGATTATTCTTATGACAGCAGCAACAGTTAAAATGTGTAATACATTTACAGTATTAATCCATTAACTCTCCCGGTTTGTCCTCGGCATTAATCTTGACCCGAGCTTACCCTGGGCAAGAGTTCATACTCATTCAACATCATTTGACCCTCAGATAAGCGCACGAGTGGACGCACGCGCACAAACAAACTCACTTGTAAGCACACAACTTTGCACCTGCTGCACTCTCCATATGAAATTTTGCTCAAAGGCGTTTTGCATTCATTGCAATACAATTCAGACTTATACTCGGGATATATCAGGTTTTTGTTCAGGTAGTCTGAGTCTCTGTCTGCTGACTAGTTTTGAAATTAACGCAATTTACTCAAATGCTTGAACTCCCTCCTTATGTTAGTCAACACGTGCCCGGTTATATATGCTTTATTTGGATCTGAGAGAGTTTACACACACAGGTAACATCTTAAAATCAAAGTTTAAACATTTTACCGACAGAGCACCTGAACGCACCGCTGCAGTCTGGAACCAAAATACCACCAGAGAGACTGACACCGACACGAACAACTGGGCAGCTTCTTGTTAACATTTATAAAACACAAAAACACATGTCAACATTTGTACTGAATAAAACGAAAATAAAAGAAACTTACCACCAGATGGGATAACTTGCCATGACATGCGTGAGCCCACAGAGCAACAGGAAACATCCCAGGTATATCATCCTTAAAGTTTCGCAAAACTTCTCCAGCAGAAAGCCTACATGCGCGCTCATATGCGCACTAAGGTTGTAACTTCAGATATATATGTATATAAAAGTTCCTGCTATATTTGCTTTTATCTCTTCCCTCCCAAATAAAGGCTGAGGGAGAATCTATCTTTCGCGACTACTCGTGGCAGCACTCAGGAGCCAAATATTAAAAGTTAAAAGCCGCAGCTTTTTTTGGGACCCAATCAGCAGGTATCGCCAAAGGGGAAATTCTGATGATATGTTCCCTCTGTTGCCTAGTCAGGCATTTGAACTGAGACAGCAGAATGAGCTAATTTTAAGATGTGTTTTAGTGCTCATTGAGACTCGGTGGCATTAGCATGCAGTGTGTGTGATATATAATGTTGTTTAAAGGAGAGAGGGAGGGTCTGAGGGCTTTTAAATAGACATCGGAACCCCTGTGGATTGCGTAGCTATAACAACCTGTCCGGATTTCACTCCCTGGCTTGAAGCTTCTAAAATGCAGAAATAAATATGTGTGAATTGCTTGAGACCATTATTAAGCTCTGCGGTCCTTTATTTGTGCCTGTTTGCCGTGAATGGAAAATAAGGAGTGGAGATTTTTCCTCCTATGGGCTGTTGGATTCACAATGAACTGAACTAAAACTCAATTATTAGAAGATTTTGACAAAGAAATGAACTATTTTTGACTATTTTTTTCATTCTTTTATTTATCAAATACTTAAACATTGCTCAAGTGATGCATTTACGCATAAAAATTGCCCAAAAGGTCCAATTCACGTTATTTTATGACAAATCAGACGCATCCTGCACATTTTAAGCTACAGTTTGTTTTCACCTTTAATTGTTTAACTTCACACACAGTTATAACTGTCCTGTGTTCACAGCTTTAAAGCTGCCCGCATGAGAAGTTGCCAGACTGCCTATTGCAACAAAAATAGTGGATAAATTTGGCCGCACCACTGCGTTTAAAAGGCAGACTGACTGTTTCCTTCCTCAATGTCAAGTGGCTGTTGATAGCTCATCTCTTTCTCCCCATTTACAGGCACTGATGCTTACAGGGCCATTAAGGAAAAAAAAAACTGTTGAGCAACATCTGTTTTTCATAAAGAGCTTTTATTTCTTTTCCAAATTCAACATAATCAAACAATATTTCAGATGAGCTTGGAGGGTTTTGTATAAAGATTATTTATCTTACACAATATATGAAAACCTGAAATCAACATGTTGCTGTTGTGGCTCAGGAAAATACAAAATAAAATATAGAGGTTTTTTCTATAGATGGAGGGGAGGACGTTTTAAGCAATAGTGGTGTGTTAATGATAAAGCACTAATTTTTCTTAATTTTATCAATGATTGTTTTAGCAGAAACGAGTTTATGTACAATCTGAATAACACTGGGCTAAACAACATGATCAGTAAATGAGTCCAGAGATGGAAAACCACGAAAAAAGCTAAGAAGAAACTTTTTTTTTTATCACCTAAAGTATTTTTAAATTTTTATTTTTCGGGTAAGTGTGTTTGATTGCCTTGCAGATTTAAACATCTGCATCTGGAGGTATTTTCAAGACTCTACTAGGCCAACCAAATACAGTATTTAAAAAGGAAAAACCTTTTTATCTGGTGTTTTATAATCGTCTCCAAATTGCAAAGATGTATCTACTTCCTGTTTTCCTCACCCAGTTGTACAGTCAGACATAATTTTACCCTGTCAGATCGGCCTCTTCTTTTTTAATTTCCGACAAGTGACCATGTGCTCAGCTTTGAGTGGCCTGAAGGAGGCCGGACACCTTAACTTCCCCCCCAGAAGCCCCAGAAGCCCCTGAAGGCAGCACGGAAACATGGTATTAGCACCATCTAGCGGACATTGTTGCTCATTGCTACAGTAAGACAAGGGTCTGAATTGGGGCCAAAGTATGCAGCTGACATCTCTGCACCTCTCAATAAGCAGAGGAAATGTTCAACATACAGGCCTTTACAACCACAGATTTGTTGAGGTACTAAAAAATCCCATGATGAGTTTTTTCACACTCACGAAATAGACCATATTGATGTATTCATGATATCTAATAGCAAACAAGACCATGAGCAAAGAGGCTGATGATCTTTTGTGTCACGTGTTTAAATATCTGAAAGTGGTGTGTAACTAGTACTGTGGTTAGGATCCTATATGTACTGTTGATGAAGTTAGATGCTGTTCTGAGCATTATTTGTGGCTACAGAGTGGCATTTTGGTTGAGGTTTGTTAATGGCTCCTCAGACTGCTGTGTATTGCTATCATGTGGTCATTACTAAAGTTGGCATAACTAGAGAAGCAAGTGGTCGGCAACATTCATCTCTCAAGGTGGTGTCTAAGTTGGTGTTACGGTGTGTTTGACCCTAAATTAATTTTACGCTGGAATATCCCTTTGAAGATACAGCTCTGTTTTTGCAACTTCTTAATACAATATTCACCATAAATTATAAATTTAAGGTCAGCAGGATGTTTTATTTATCTATTTATTTTTGTCAGTAGACACTGTTTAAGCATGTAAATGACAAGATAAGCAAAAACTGCTTTGTCCACAGGGGGCGCCAAAATAAACACAAACCGAAGTTTCCTCACACGAGCTTTAACTTCAATATTGTCAGATTTCCCCCTTTTCCCCCCACAACAGCTTTTAGCTAACGCCACTTTTTGAGAAAATCTGTTGCCTGTTCAGCTAAGGCCACTTTGTGGATAAAGACGTAATAGGTGCTAACTTGTGTGTGAAGCATGTTTGACTTCGACACTCCATTAAAATCAACCATCAGTCATGTTAAGTGACCACACAGTGAAAACGCTGCTGCAAAGTGATAAATCGAGTGGAGTGTAAATGTTAACCTCCCCATGTCCATCCATTTAGGTTTTTCCCCAACAAACGGAAGGACATCATTTCACCTCTATGTTACCATGGTGACCTCAGTGAGATGATGATGTCATTGAGTAGTGCCATAAGCAGGGAGTAATGTTGGACAAGTGCGTCTTGTCATTGCATCTGCATCACAGGCCTCAGTCAGACTCCCTCTTTTTGACATAACACAGCTACACTAACATCATGCAGTACAAAAATACTGAGCTAATCACATTAACATTACTTCACTCAGTTTTCCATGATCATTTTCCTGATGTGCAACCAAACTGTTGATGCATAGTTCAGCTCTGTGTGTCACAACGAGATGCAACATACAAAGAACATTTGAAACCACAGCTACTGCAGATGATCATTTTAGGATCTGCACAAATGTGATGGCACCACTAGATGTCAGCATTGTGATAATAACAATGTCAATTGTCACAGCTGAAACTTGAGAAAGAAAAAAAAAACATTTAAAACACAAGTGGTCCATGCATAATAAAAACACTTTTGATTTCATTATCTTAGGCTAATATGAGATTAGAATTGAATAAAAACATTTAAACGATATGAAACAATAAGAGAACACATTTCAACCTTATTATTTTCTATTTTTAATCTATTCCCCTGTTGAAATTAGCTGTATTTCGTATCAGTCTAAATATTATAAAGAAAGGACACTACTCTGTGGATAATAATCAAAAAAGACATGAATCTCATGATTTAGATTTTTTCATGCTGTTAATTTCAAGCTAACATCCAGAAAACTTTTCAAAATGTTGAAAATACCAGTCACTATTGTCCTGACAACCTGAGGAGATGTTTTTTGTTAGAATGAATCCTCCAGTTCATATCAATTTTTTCTATTGTGCCCCTTAATTTACTTTAAAAATCAGCAGGAAATTTAGATGTTTGATGTTAAGATACAGAGACGTCTTAAGTCAGAGAAAGAAGACTTTGAATGAGCAGCTTCTACTTTACTGTACTTCTGAGGGTTATGCCTCCTTAAGCTGCAACACACCCCACAAGCTCACACCTGGAAACAACTCATCACTTTCCGCTTTAACGTCTCTATTGGTCCGCAGACATGGGAAACAAAGCAAAAGGGTCTGCCTCTGCTCTGACTTTATCTTCAGGATGGGCATTACCACAGGCGTTGACGTCCTATCTCGCCCTTTTACTTCTGGTAATACAGGGTGTAAAAAGGCTTCTGATAAGAGAAATCATGGTAGCATGCTTCCAAATCTCAATGTAAACTGTCTACATAATCTGTGAGGTCACATTTGTTTCTTTTAAGCGCAGATCACACCCACTGTATTGGCGTCATTTATTTTACTGTATGTTCGCTGAGTGCAGATTATCAGTTGAGATTGGTGGCAAAATTCAATGAAAAAAAAAACAATTGGGGAAACGTAATGGGTAAAAATAAAGTATGATAGTGCTAGGGAAGTAAAGATTAAATTAGGAAAGTCCTGGCAACCTGGCGTCAGATTGGGCAACAGACTTTAGAGATCCGCTTAGGTTTAATGTTCGAAAGTAAAAATCCTGTGTAGATTTTGAGTAAATGGAGAGTTCAGACTTTATAATTAAATGTTTATTAGATATCAAATATTTTACCAGATATGAAAGAGAAGTCAAGTTTAAGGAGTTCGAAAACCAAGTATTATCTACTTGGAACAGATATGAGGTTTTGAAAACATTACCCTGGGAACCAGACAAATCTGAGAGCTCATGTTTTGTTTGCTCTGGCAAATTTGTTTGGTACCTTTCCTGTTTTGATTTGTAGCCAAGCTTTCTCAGGCCACACCAAACAAAATCCTTGATTTCATATGACGTGGGCAGATGCAATATGATCCTTCATTATCAGAAGAGCTCTGCTGAGGCTACCACCTATGTTAGACATTTGGGCAGCATTGATTAACAAAATGAAGGAAAGTTTATGTCAAGCAAGGGATAAGTGAGACAAAATTTGTGTATTATGTCAGAAAAAATATCAGTTGGTGGATTAATATTTTCAACTTGTTAGTCTGACTGGTTGTAGATCCTTCTAATTGTGTCTAGAAGCATTTTGCAGGCTGGTCTAAACTTATTGTAGCATGTAAATAGAGAAATAAAGAGGACCAAGGATTGATCCCTGTGGTGCCCCATGAATAAAATGGATAGGGGAAGATTTATGGTCAATGGCTGCCACAAAAATATGCTTCCAGAGAGACTGAAAAAAACAAAACGAGATAAGAGCACAAAATTGCCTAAAATCATTGTCTGCATGTGTTGCCCGTTAAGATACATTTCGTCTTTGACTGTGTGCTGTAGGAGTCTTGTGTCAGGGTTTTTTTGTGCTAGATTCCACATTTATTTAGGAGCAAAAAACAAGGCAAGAAGATGCATTTTTTAATCACTGGAGCAACTCTGTGTGTCATATCATGGGGCAGAGTTTATATTAACATCTGAGAGAGGACAAGGCTTTAATTCTACACCTTTTTCCAGTCTCCATCTTTTTCTCTGGTCTTTTTTCCAC